ATTAGGACACACTCATTCCAGAACTAGATGAGAGGGAGGTCTCCCTCTGGGATCAATTCTCCTCAAAGGGATCTATCTCCTTGGTGGGCAAGCTTTCTAAGAAGAGAGCAAGTATATATGTAGTTTAAGAGTGTAAGCTCAGATCTGGTCAGACTGGATTAAAACTGAAGCTCTTGGGCTGGGGTTGTGGCTCAAGCGGTAGCACGCTCGCCTGGCATGCATGCGGCCCGGGTTCGATCCTCAGCACCACGTACAAAGATTTTTTTTTTTTTTTGAAAGAGAATTTTTTAATATTTATTTTTTAGTTTTCGGTGGACACAACATCTTTATTTTTTGTATGTGGTGCTGAGGATCGAACCCGGGCCGCACGCACGCCAGGCGAGCATGCTACCGCTTGAGCCACATCCCCAGCCCCTAAAACAAAGATGTTGCGTCCGCTGAAAACTAAAAAAATAAAAATAAAAATTCTCTCTCTCTCTCTCTCAAAAAAAAAAAAAACAAAAACTGAAGCTCTTATCTTAGAGATTTACTTAACCTTTGATTTAGCTTCACTGACATGGGGATCATAATACTGCCTTAATAGGTGTATTTAACAAGCTCAGTGTGATAACATCAGTAAGCATATAGCAGCACATCATCTAGCACTTAGTAAGTGCTCAATCACTGTCAGGCAGCAGTAGTAGTCATGATGTCAGGTGTTATTAACTCATGGGCCCTTGTCTTGAGGCTCACTGGCTCTGCAGGCTTCCCCCAGTCTTTTACATATACCTATATCACCAGAAAGGACCAAGGAAGAGAAGGGAGGGAATCCAGAGGATGGAGGTGAGAGGGCTCAGATCTCCTTCCTACCCTAGGCTTCTCCATCAACAATAACAGCAATTTCTGAAGAGCAGGAAGGGATTTGGCATCTCCTGGAAGGAAGAGAAGCACCCAGTCCCCTCTCTCCTCAAGAAACTTAGATCTCTTGGTCCCTAAGGCAGCTGCAATAAGTCCTCTCCAGAGAGGGTCATGAAGTGGATAAGCTGCCTTTTTCCTGGCCAGGATATTGGACCTAATCCTCCTTCCCTTGGGCCTCAGTTTCACTGTCTGAGGCCTGTGGGAAGAGAGTGCATCCCGCCTCAGTCTCCATGGCAACCGCAATCGATGTCAGTTGTGTCTGACATCCCGAGAGGTCACTGCCGCCTTCTCCACCTCCTTATATTCTCATATAGTCCATGTTAATACAATTACACAACTATAGACCCATTATACAACATAGCCATGCCTACCAAATTTCAGATCCACATCCTACAACTCTACTAAACACACCTTCCTGCATACATACTCAGAAATACTCCCACACATTCACACATGCATCCACAGACAGCCAGACCTCATACAAATGATACACAAAACACAAACTTTTGTGTAAGTGCACAGACACATGTATGAGGGGACACACATACTTCCATACCAACAAACCCAAAGAAAAACACCCATACACCTATAATATATTCTATCCCATACCACGAACTTGGGAGGGCCGGAGAGGGTCACTGTGCTTGTAGTCCTTGCTGTCAGTCAAGGTCTTGAAGCAGTTTGGCCTCTTTGAACATATCTTCTTGGGAGGTGACCCAGGTATCTGGGCATCTATCTATCACCCATATGCTGATTGTAGTTTCTGTAATACATGCACCCAGCTCTTCCCTGCCATCTTCCCTGCCCTATCCCTGTGGCCCAGAATGGTCACAGGGTGTTTGGGGGAAGCATTCTCAGGGACGGTGGCAGGTCACTGCCTCCCTCCTCTGGCCCAAATCCTTCACACCAGAAGTTCTCTGGGAGGTGGCCCCATGAAGAGGAAGAGGAAGAGGCGGCGGCTGTGGCTAGGAGGCTTGTAGGGCAGAGAGAGGGAGGGAGAGAGGGAGGAGACCCAGGGCGGGAGAACCGGAGGGAGGCTGCGGGTGATCCTACTCTGGCTGGGGAGCCTGAGGGGGAGGTGGCTTGAGGCTGCCTGCGGTGTGTCCCAGTCTCAGCCGGATAGGGGCCATGCCTGGGGCCCGCCATGAACCTCGAAGGGCTAGAGATGGTCGCCGTGCTTGTAGTCCTCGCTCTGTTTGTCAAGGTCCTGGAGCAGTTTGGCCTCTTCGAGCCTGTCTCCTTGGAAGGTAACCCAGGTGTCTGGGCATATCTGAACTGCTGGTTGGAGGATCAGCCACCCTGCAGTTTTGGGGAGGGCCTTGTGCCATCTTCATGACCTGGGGAAAGGGTGAGCAGGTGAGTGATGAGATTGGCAGCTGGGGAGGTAAAAGCACAGCCTGGGAGACAAGACAGCTGGGATAGATTAAGAGGGGGCCTTAAGGAGTTGATCTGGGGAAGGGGAGGAGGGGCTTTGGGAAAGTAATAAAGGGTGCAGCATGGGAGGACTGGGGTGTAAAGATGAGGTGAGGGGAATATGAAGGATACCAGGTGGGGAGGCAGGCAAGGGGTATATGGAGTAGAGGAGGAAATTTCTAAGGTTCCTGAGATAATACTAGATTTCTGGGGAGTCCCTTTTAGAGTTCAAGGATGTGGGTGACTCTCCATACCTCCATGTGGTATAGGTGTAGGTTACAGGGTGTGTATATGGACTCAGTGTGAGACATGGAATATGAGTGTGTGCTCATGTGTGTGAGCGAGGACATATGTGACTATGTGAGCCTGTGTATATGACAGATATATGATCACATGTGTCATGATAGGATTGGTGGCTTGTGTAATGGTGGATATGATCATGCCTAAGCTGGACAAGGCGAGTGGCTGAGCCTTTTTGGGTATAAGGCTAAATGAAGCTGTTCCCAATTCCCTGAGGATATGTTCAAGACTTGGAATTGGAGTGGGTTCTAGAGTCCCAGTTGCACCAGGGGAGGCAGGCAAGATAGGCAAGAACCATGATGGGGCTGGGGGTGGGAGCAGGGGCTATTGGTTAGACACCTGGGAGAACTGGAAAGATGTGAAGGAAGCTGGTGTCAGGAAGATTCATGAATTGCCTGCTCTAGGGTTCCTTCAGTAAGAGCACCCTTCATCCTCTGCTGTAGACTGGGAGTTAGACTTAGGAGACTGGTTTGAGCTGGTTCTCATTCATTATGGAAAAGATGAAATATGTGGCTCAGTGATAGTGCCTAGCCCTGGGTTTGATCCCCATTATCGCAAGGGAGGGAAAAAAGGGAAGAAACTGGCTCTAAGAAAATGCTTTAGACTACTTGGTGAGAAGAGAGGAAACAGCTGTGCCATGGAGCTGCACGGTTCTTGTGAAGAGAAGAGGGGAACAAAATTCTGAGGGAGATGGAAGAGACAGAAATGTTTCCCTCTCCACCTCCAGTAGCATTTTCCCTACTGATTTTGGAGTGGGACTCTTGGGAAGCTGCAATATCCTGTAGTCTAAAGGCAGAGGCTTTCTCTTCTACCTTTAAGGGAGCCTAGAGGAGATTAAGGCTTGAGAGTAGGCAGGGACCTAGTAGGCAAGGCAGGAGGAGAGCTCTGTACCTCACTCCCCACCCCACAGTCGGGTGACTACACCACCACAGGCCCCAGGCACAATCTGGCTTTGGGAAAACAGAGTCCAGGTTAATGGAACCCTGGGCTAGGGGCCAGGCCACCATCGATTCCCACACCCCGCCCCCACCAACCTGGCCCACTGCCTCCTTATCTCTCTATAGCTCCTGGAGTGGGTTGGGGAGGGAGAGAGATGAGGTTCAAAGAGGTGATAACCTCACACAGTTACCTACTGGTCTGGAGGGTAGAGTCTGGTGTGGGGGGGCGAGGTGGGTTGGGGTACTGGGATAGGGGAATGACTAAAGGAAGTTGGGCCCCTCCAGGAATGTACTGAGGCAGACTTTAGTCAGTGTGTCAGGTCCGGCAGGCTCTGGCCCAGGGATCTGGAGGTGTTTGCAGCTTGGAGACACAATAATGCTAAGGGTCCTCCTGGTGTACAATTAGAGCTATAAGATATATGCAGAAATAAAGGGTGGGGGGAGAAAGAGGAGCTATGATCATTGGGCCTTAAATAACCCCACAGGACACCAAAATATTGATCTCCAAGATTTTTTATTGCTTCAAAGTCCACTATCATTTTGCCTTCAAAGAGCAATCAACCATACTAGAAAGGACTGGGAAACAGCCACACTTAATGGTGTAAATATTAGATGATAAGGAACCCCCCTTCTCAGGAAGATTCTGGGTGCCTTGAAATAAGAAGTAACAGGACAGAAAAGTAGATGTACCCAGGACAGATGAAGCTTCTGTGGGTGAGGAGCAACCTTAGGTGTCTGTCTGCTATAGAGGATCTAGCTCACAATATGATATAGATATGTGTCATGGTATTCTTAACACACAGTGTTATGGTGTCCCAGGGTCATTGTGTGGTATTTTTGCTTTCTTAGTTTGGAGGATTGAATCTAGGGGTGCTTATATCCCCAACCCTTTTTATTTTTGTACAAGGCCTCACTAAGTTGCTGGCTGAGGTGGGCCTCGAACTTGTGGTCCTCCTGTCTCAGCCTCCCAAGTCGATCAAGCTGTCACTGGCACCTGTCTGACTTATCATTCTGTGTCCCTATACATGCATATTTGTGTATGTGTGTGTCTGAGAGAGGGAGGGAGAGAGTGAGAGAGAAAGGAAGAGAGAGAGATTCTACCTAGCAATCCTTAGGTTGGACATTACCCTGAGGTCCAGCTATGGCACTCAAGCCAAGGGCACTGGGTGAGCAAAGACACTGAGGCCAGTACGACCTCTCTCTTTGCTGCCTCATTGTCGCTGGGCCCTATCCCATTATATTAAGTACCCCAGCCTTGCTTGATGCACTCTGCATGCATGTGAGAACAAGTAGGCTTCCTAACACGGCCCCAATTATCCTTGCCCGCCTTCCGCCCCATTCATTCCTTTCCTGGCCCTCCTCCAGCCAGGCTTGACTTGTGACTGAAGGGGACAGGGAACGGAGGGAAAAGTGGAAGTTAACGTGCCTTCCTGGGGTCTTCTCTCTTCCTAGGCCACCCTCCAGGGCCCACTAAAAAAGCGCTGAAGCAGCGGTTCCTCAAGCTGCTGCCTTGCTGCGGGCCCCAAGCCCTGCCCTCAGTCAGTGAAAGCAAGTGCCTCTCCTGTGCTTCCGGGGGCGGGGCCCGAGCGTGTGGCATTGTGGTAGAGTGACGTTGGCGTGGCCAGTTCTGCTGGTGGGGTGGGAGTCGGAGTGGGGGCTGGCTGGTGTGCTTGATGAAGCTGGTATGTATGTATGTGGTGTCCCGAGTGCCTGTGAGCATCACTGGTCTAAGAAATCGAGCGTTTGGGCATGACCAGAGTGGCAGGGCCCATGCCTAGGCCTACGTAGGCCTGGCCAGTGGAGGGGTGGGGACCAGGCCACTAAGCGGGTCTAAACCAGGCTTAGTGTTTGTGACTGTGTGGACTGCCTGTCACTGTGTATGTTTTGGGCTTAGCCATATATTTCGCCCGTGGCCACAACAGGATGGTTGCAGGTTTAGAGAGTGGAGATCGCCTTACTCCAGATGCCAGGATACTTGGGTTTTCTTTTATCCTTTTTTTTTTTGTTGTTGTTGTTGGGGGCGGGTGATGCAGGGACGCTCTACCATTGAGCAACATCCCCAGCCCTTTTTAGTTTTGAGAAGGGGTCTCCCTAAGTTGCCAAAGCTGGTCTCAAACTTGGAATCCTCCTGCCTTAACCTCCTGAGTCACTGGAATTACAGGCGTTTGCCACCGGCCCGGCAATACTTGGGTTTTCAGTCTTAGCCTGGTCCCCCAACTAAGTAACCTCGAGAGGACCTCTTGTCCCTAAGTCTCCCTGTGCCCACTTCAGAGGATCATACTGAATTTTGCAAGCTATGAAGTCCCGTTTTGTAGCTGTCATGATGTTTGATTCTGATAGGTCCTTTCACAGGGTAGGTTTGAAAACTAGGGACATGGTTGTGTGCATGGGATCCTTTTCGTGTATGTCTGCTCTTTACGTGTGCTTTTGCTGCGGGTTTGGGGTATGTGCATTGTATACAGGTCTGTGAGATTTGCTGTGTGTGAGAAGCGAGGTGAGTGTCTGCTTTGGGCCGGGTCTTCAGCTTTCTCGGTGACAGTTCACTCCCTTCAGCATTAGCCGCCCCAGCCTCCCTCCGCCCCCACAGACCCCGCCCGCTGGACCCAGGTGACTTACTCTCCGGGGGGGGGGGGGGGCGGGGGGGCGGGACTTTGAGAGTGTGGGTGGGGGCATTTGCCTGGGGGCTGAACGTTTGTTAACAGGCGGGACTGAGGTGGGGCGGGAGATGGAGCCTGGGATGGGGTCTGGATGGAGATTGGCTGGAGCAGGGCGGAGCATGGCTCAGGCATGGCTGGGATGGGCACAGCGCAGTTGGGGGAGGGGAAGATCTGGGCTTGGCAAGGATGGGGTGGGGCACATCTGAGTTGGTCAAAAAAACGACCCGGAGCGCCCAGCCTCAGACACCGGCTTTCGAACCAGCTTTTCCCACTCCTCCCTCTCTGAAATGAAGATGCAGGTTGGGGTCTTCTTCTGCAACCAGGCATTAAAGGCCCAGAGTCAAGGGCTGAGTCCGACCCCAGTCTTTGGGGCCGGGCTGGGCCAGGCCTGGCTTTGGCTCGCTGATAAACGGACCAGCGTCTTCTCTTCTCGCGTGGATGTCCTCGGCTCTGGGTCCAGAGAACTGGCAGGCAGTCTTCGGCGCCGAAGATGGGACAGGGAGGAGGGTGTTGGGGTCGGTGATTTTGAAGAGCGGTTGTAGGGATTTCAGGGGGCCGGGCCTGAGGCGAGGCTGTCCCTCCCCCACCCCCCACCGCTCCCCACAGACAGCGTAGAGGATGAATTTGAACTGTCCACTGTGTGTCACCGACCAGAAGGTCTGGAGCAGCTGCAAGAGCAAACCAAGTTTACGCGCAAGGAGTTGCAGGTCCTGTACCGGGGCTTCAAGAACGTGAGTGAAGGCGAGGCCAATCTGGGTAAGGGGGGGAGCAGGAGGGCACCAGCTGATAGAAAGTAATGCCTAGATGCTTTGAGGTTGAGGGCTGTGGCCCCAGAGACCAACTTCTAGTCTGAAGTTTTGGCCTGGGGCCAAAATAGATGTACTCTGATCCCGTAGACTGGGATTTAGTTATATGCTTTTCATTTGTGCACTGGGGAAGAAGTCTTGCCTGCCATACCAAGATCCCCCTTGGAGGCATGATGACTTTTCCTTTCTGGAAGGCTGGCCATGGAGGGTGGAGAAAGGGCAGTGAAAAGAAAGTGGGTTTTGTTCCCTCAGTATGGTTCTCTCCTTCCTCCCAGGAATGTCCCAGCGGAATTGTCAATGAGGAGAACTTCAAGCAAATTTACTCCCAGTTCTTTCCTCAAGGAGGTGAGCAAACTAGGCCCAAGAGAAAGCAGCTGTTCTTTGTTATGCTGAGTGGGGAGAGAGGGTGCTGAAGGGCTGGGATTGCCTTGAAGGATTTGGGGAAGCTTCATAGAGGTAGGAAGTCCTCTCCCATCTGGAAGCCAGGCTCACTCACTTCCCCACATTTATCCTACAGACTCCAGCACTTACGCTACTTTTCTCTTCAATGCCTTCGACACCAACCATGATGGCTCTGTCAGTTTTGAGGTGAGCTGGGGAGGTAGGTCAGGGAAGCCTACTTCCTTGGGTTTACATATCAGAATCTCCAGGTCATATCCAAAGAAAGGATTGGGTGACGGGTACCCGAAGTCACAGTTCTTCTCTACTCCCTTCTTAGGACTTTGTTGCTGGTTTGTCGGTGATTCTTCGGGGAACCATAGATGACAGGTTGAATTGGGCCTTCAACCTGTATGACCTCAACAAAGATGGCTGTATCACCAAGGAGGTGCAGGGCAACTGAAGGGTTATGTGGGAGTGGGTTGTGGGGTACAAAGGGCCATGGGAAGAAAACGACCTATATATATATATCACCAGCAAGAGGGTAAAATCTACATAGGCCATCAGCCTCTTGGTTTGGAGTCTGGAGGCTCTGAGGAGGGATCTTCTTCTCTTTTGGCCTAACAGGAAATGCTTGACATCATGAAGTCCATTTATGACATGATGGGCAAGTACACATACCCTGCACTCCGAGAGGAGGCCCCAAGGGAACACGTGGAGAGCTTCTTCCAGGTGCCTGGGACTGGGTAGGCTGGAGGGCCGGAGTGAAGGGAAGGAGACCAGGGACCAACACGGGAACTTACCTGAATTCTGCATGCCTTTCTCCTGCCATCCCTATTGTTCTCCCTGCCCGACCACCTTCTTGTAGAAGATGGACAGAAACAAGGATGGTGTGGTGACCATTGAGGAATTCATTGAATCTTGTCAAAAGGTACAGGCCCTGCCCTCTACATTTCCCTGGTCTGGACTCAGGGCCTGAATCAGTGATGTATGAATAATTTACTTTGGCCGGGCACAGTGGTGCATGCCTGTAATCCCAGTGGCTCCCAGGAGGCTGAGACAGGAGGATCATGAGTTCAAAGCCAGCTTCAGCAAAAGCAAGATTCTAAGCAACTCAGTGAGACCTTGTCTCTAAATAAAATACAAAATAGGGCTGGGGATATGGCTCAGTGGTTGAGTGTCCCTGAGTTCAATCCCCAGTACCAAAAAAAAAAAAAAAAAAAAAAAAGTTTCTTTGGTCAGAGTACCTCCTCCCTATCTCACCCCCACCATTCCCCAATCCTGTTCCTTCATGATAAGGGATGTCTTATCCCTTCCCCATCTCTATCTGGGTATCTCCCTCCTCTCTGCCTCTGAATGTTCCCATCTCTAATTCAGTGTCCTTCTTCCTGACAATCTCTCTTTTTTCTCTCTTTCTCTCCTTCTCTCCAATCTGCTTTACTCACACCATGGCCACAGGATGAGAACATCATGAGGTCCATGCAGCTCTTTGACAATGTCATCTAGCTCCCCAGAAGAGGGAGTTAGTGTGTCCTGGGGGCACCATGCTCTAGTCCCTAGTTCAGGCAGACCTCACCCTTCTCTTCCCAGGTCTATCCTCATCCAAGCCCTACCCTGCGGGCTATAGGGATCGAAAAGCTTGGGGCTTCGGTAGTCTAGAACCCTGGATTTGAAGGGGCCAGATAGTGGGCAAAGTACATCTGGTGGGTGTTCCCAACTCCCAACAGCTTTTACCCCCTTTTTGCCTGACACCCAGTGCTGAGGGTGCCTCTGCTATTGGAAATGAATGATTGCCCACCTCCCACCCCAATTCTAAGAAACCACAACACTAGACAGAATGTTTCCTGCTATGGTGCTTCCCCATCCCTGATCTCACAAACACTTCCCCTAAGACTCCCTTCTGAGAGAATGCTCTGTCCTTGGCGTACTGGCTGGCTTTTCATATCGCCTTTGAGAGCCTTGTGGGAGGGAAACAGAATATAAGGGAGAAATCTTGGTCCTGAGCCAGTGGTTTGTTCCTAGTATCTGACTGGAGTGAAGAACAGAAAGACCATGGAAGAGCATTAGAGCTCAGGCATGTTGGGCTAAAGCTTCAAGTCACACAGTGTGCTACTCCAGGCCACTAGCATTTCCAAAGTTTTCAGAAGGCCTTATGTCCCAGAAATTTTCCATACCCTTCCAGTATCATAGGAGAGCTTGGGAACCAGATATCTGGCTTATCCCTGAAATTCCTTCCTCTCCCCTCTTCCTGCTTGTATGGTAGTAGTGGTAGGGATTGTGGGTGGGAGATGTCTTAGTTGATGTGTAACAAAGTTTCAGCTTGCTCTTCCTGCTCATTGCCTGTTATGATGGCTGTGACTTGAGTTTTCACCTGCCATATCCTCTAAATTTGGAGGCATGGAGTGAATCAGGGACTTTCCTGAACATGGATCCCATCACCCCTCCCAGTGGATGCCTTAGAGGGAGAACGAAGGAGGAAGGCAGGCATAATATTTGAACCCAGTGGGGGGGGGGCATATATTAGAACCTTTGATCAACCAGGCTGCACCCCAAACCCTTATCTAGTCTCCTTAACTCCCTGAATCTCCTCTCCCTCTACTCAGCCCACCCAGAGATGCCATTTAGCACACTGAGAGTGCAGGGACTATAGGACCCAGGTTGTCCCACCTCATCATCAGCACTCCTGCCATGCTGCTACTCCATAATATATCTGCTTGTCCCATTCAGCTCACCCTCCCAGTCAGCCAGAATCTGAGGGGAAGGGCCCCCAGGGACCTCCCTGTCCCATCAGACACTGCTGACTGCTTTGCATTTTTGACTCTTCTGTATATTTTGTAAAATAACAAATACACCAGATCCAATAAAACACAATGGCTATGCATAGGCTGCTGTCTCTGCCTTTTTGTCCTTCCTACCCCACAAATACTGCCTGATCCAAAACTCATGTGCCTGCAGCCTTTTATATCCCCAAGAAAGGGCTGGGGGTATAGCTTAGTGGTAGAGTGCTTCCTTAGCACGTGTGAGGCACTGGGTTCAATCCTCAGCACCACATAAAATAAAATAATAGTATTGTGTCCATCTGTAACTTAAAAAAAAAAAAAGATCCCCAAGAAAGTGCCTGTCTTTGAGTCCAGCCATGCATTGGCAGGAGACCAAGACTCAGATTCTGGAATAGGTGGAAACCCACCTGACCTTAGGTCCCTACAGGACTCTCCCATATCCTGCAAGGGGACAAGGAAGGACAAGATGTTGATGACTCAAAGAATATGCCAAGAAAGCTGTGCTTTGGCAGACATTTAGAATTTCTGATTTCTAAGAATTTCTAATTTACAAATGTAGTTAATCACAAAGTGCTTGAGGGGAATTCCCTTGAATTAGTTTATTATTTTCCTTTTTTTTTTTTTTTTTCTTTTTTCAGTGCTGGGGGTTGAATTCAGTGTTCCACAAATCACAAATACTAGGTAAGTGCTCTACCATTAAGCTACATTCCAAGCCCTTCAGTGTTTAAGAGCTTTAGCCAAGTGAATTGGCACACACCTGTAATCCTCGCTACTTGGGAAGCTGAGGCTTACAAGCTAAGGATTGCCAAGTTTGAGACCAGCCTCAACAATTTAGCAAGATCCTGTCTCAAAATAAAAACTAAAAATGGCTGGTGATGGCCAGGTGTGGTGGCGCACGCCTATAATCCCAGTGGCTCAGGAGACTGAGACAGGAGGATTGCAAGTTCAGTCAGCAAAAGCAAGTTGCTAAGCAACTCAGTGAGACTCTGTGTCTAAGTAAAATATAAAATAAGGTCGGGAATGTGGCTTAGTAGTTGAGTGCCTCTGAGCAGCTTTGCTCAAGTACTGCCCCCCCCCCCCCAAAAAAAAAAACTGGGGATGTATTTCAGTAGTAGAGAGCACCCCTGGGTTCAATCTCCAGTACTGAAAAACTTTTTTTTTTCAGTCTTGTTCCTCTCCTTCACTCTCTTTCCACCTGTTTTATTAGTCCTCCAGTTCCACCACTGATGATCTCTTCCCTAGTCTAAGCCACCATAATCACTCACCTAAGTTACTAATTATTAATCCATATGAAGTAGCTCTTTCTTGTTGCATTTACTATTCATCCTATCACTAGATTTCCCCCCTTAAAACATTTATCACAGACTCTTCCTGTGTAAGAACCCTGTTAGTCAGCTTTTTGTTGCTGTGACAAAATACCTGAGAAGAAACAACTTAGGAATAAACATTTATTTTTGGCTCACAGTTTTAGAGGTTTCAGTTCATGGTTGGCTGGTTCTGTTCCATTCATTCTGGGCCTGCAGTGAGGTGTTATATTGTGGGAAGATGAGCAAAGCTGCTCACCTCATGACATCCAGGAAGCAGAGGAGGTGGGGAAAAGGGGCCAGAGACAAGACATAGTCCCCAAGGACACCCCCCACACACACACCAAGGATCTACTCCTTTAACTGTGTTCCACCTCCTACAGGTTCCACCACCAAAAAATGCCATCAAATTAGAAATCCACTGATGAGATCAGAGCCCTCATGATCCAATCACTTGCCCAAAGCTCTTCCTCTGAACATTGCTGCACTGGGGATTAATCCTTCAACCCATGAGCCTTTGGGGGGACATTCTAGATCCAAACCATAACATACTGAATTTGTTATTGTCAGTTTCTCCAACCAAAATGTAAACGGTGGGGCAGGGCCCTGTCTCTCTTTCCACATTTATTAAGGAGCTACTAAGCACTGATTAGGAGCAGAGGGAGAGGTGTGATGTGGAAAGAAAATGTAAAGCAATTGTATAGCAAGAAGTACTCTTAAAGTTAGGAGCAGGGGGAGAAGTGTGATGTGGAAAGAAATGTGTAGCAATTGTGTAACAAGAACCCTTCAAGTTTGAAACAGAATGTTGATATTTTGGAGCACAGGATCTAGAGTCTGGACTGTGGAGAATAGATGAAACTGACTACTGACTTTCTGCCAGTTGTGACAGTGTGAAGTATGAAACAAAGAGGAAAAAAAAAATGTCATGAGACTAAGAGCTAGGGTCAACTAGAATGACAGTGAGTTCTCCAAGGGACAACAATATCCAGTGAAACTGCTTATGATCCCCAGCTGGCCTCACAGGAGGTCCCCTAAGAAAATGCCTGCTCTGTGTTTGATTTATCAGTACATAAACTAAAATTGGATTGATATAGACAAGATTAGGTTGGCCCTTGTGTAAGTTTGTGAAATGTTCCATATTGAAAATAATTCTTGCTTCAGGACTAAAAAGAAGGAAGACTGTAACAGTCCCTGGAGCTACAGTACTGTTTTAATAGGAGAAGGAGGTATTTATTCCTTACAAGTTGGAACATTTCTCAACCCACACAGATGTGAAATGCATTATGATAGGACTATAGCTCTGGGAGCATACAGTAAAGGGAACTTGCTGAACTAGAGTTCAGGGAAGGTTTCTTCATAAAATGTTGATGCTGAAGCTCAAGGGATCCCATGCCTCCTCACTCACTGTGTTAGCTTTCCAAAATACCTGACAAGAACAACTTAGAAAACCAAAGGTTTATTTTATTTTTTGGTACCAGGGTTTTAAACTCAGGGGCACTTGACCACTTAGCCTCTTCCCCAGCCCTATTTTGTATTTTATTTAGAGACAGGATTCTCACTGAATTGCTTAGCACCTGGCCATTGCTGAGGCTGGCTTTGAATTTGTGATCCTCCCATCTCAGCCTCCTGAGCCATTGGGATTATAGGCATGCCCCACTGCGCTGGGCCCAAAGTTTTATTTTGAACTCATGGTTTCAGTCCACGGTTGGGAAGCGCCTTTGCTCTGGAGGAATAGCATGGTGTTAGAAAGGCACTCTACTAATGGCATTGAGAAAGTAGTGAGGGGTGGGAAGAGAGCCAGGGACAAGATATAATCCAAGGACACCACCCCCCCACTAACCTACTTCCTCCAGCTCCCCCACCTGCCTACAATTATCACCCAGTAGTCCAAATTATTAACCAATAAAATTCATTAATCTATTGATGAGGTTATAGCCCGCATGATCTAGTCATTGCTTAAAAACCTCACCTCTGAACCATGTTGTGTGAATATGAGATTTGGGGGAGAACATTAAAAATCTAAACCATAACACACATTCACTGGGTACTCCCCATTTCCAAACAAACCAGTCCTTTCAAGCCTTCCCTACTTTTAGACTCTGTTGTTTCACTTGCCTAGAGTGCTGACTTCTCTTACTACCTATTCTAGCTAATTTCTACTCATCCTTTATAATCCAGCTCAGAAATAAAGCCATGGGGTAAGGGTTCTTCAGTAGTAAAGTAACTGCCTAGTAAACCCAAGGGCTGGAGTTCAATCCCCCAGCACAGCCAAAAGGGAACCACATTCACAGCCTCTCCCCAAAGTAGGAGTTAGTTATTACCTTTTCTGACTTCCTGAAACACTTGGGTACATCATGAAGGAATTCTGTGTGTACTTGCTTGCCTATCACCATACTGTGAGCTCATAGTGGCCCGTGAGCCCAGGCCCAGGCAAGCGAAATCGGTGCCTGCTGCGTGAAGGAATGAACGAATGCATTGCATCGTTAAATGGAGTTAGCTTCCAAAGTGGATAGGGAAAAATGATTCAAGGCAGAGGGGTGAGCTGAACTCCTTGGAATGGTGTCGTCACAGAACCGAGCCAGGTCAGGCGAATGTAATTAGCCAAACTATTACAAGAATCTCCATAGAAAGTAGGTCAGTTCCTTCCTGTCTCTTTAAGAACCAGAGGCTTCGTTTCCGCGCTTGCGCTTTGAGAGAGTAAACTCCTTTCCTTTACACCCACCCCGCTTCGCCTAATTGCCCCAAAAGGCGGTAGCCTCCTCCCATACTCCCCTTCTACTGGTGGAGTAATGGTCCGTCCCAAGGTGTCGGGCTCTTTCTGGAGGGTGGCAAGCATAAATGGTACATTCCACCGCCTGCATTCTCCGCGTTTCCTATGTTCTATTTCCCCCTACTGAATGAAACGTAATAGGCTGGCCCCAAAGAAGGAGGGAGAGGGGGGCTGAGAGGACCGGTCTGAGCCGGTCTGCGGCGCAGGCGCAGTGCGGATAAACAGGAAGCGGGTCCTAGAGGCAGCGGCAGAGTAGAACTAGGGGCTTCGGGGGCAGCAGCGGAAAGACTTAAGATTATTAAGAGGGCAGCAGACACCGAGAACGAGAAGAGGAGCCTTGGCCATCGGCTTCCAGTGAACGAGAAGTCGCGGTTTCGCTCTCTTCTCTGCTTAGGTTTTCGGCTTCCCAGCTTAGGCTAAGGCAGCGGCTGACAAAGGGCTCGCGCCGGTGCCGCCGCCCTTCTCATCCGGGCAATCGGGCCCCTGCGGAGAGGGAGGGGGAAGGGCTGAGGGGGAGGGGAAGGAGCCGGAGGGGCGCGCGCTTGGAGCTTAGGCCCTCTCCAGGGTTCCAGTCCCGTGGCCCAACGGACGGAAGCCGAAGAGGACCTGCAGAGGTGGCGGCGGCCGGTGGCAGGAGGATGGTGCAGAAGGAGAGCCAGGCGGCGCTGGAGGAGCGGGAGAATGAACTCAGTTCTAACCCAGCCGCCTCTGCGGGCGCATCGTTGGAGCCGCCGGCAGCTCCAACCCCTGGGGAAGACAACCCAGGAACCGTGGCTGGGGGAGCGGCAGTTACCGGGGCGGCAGGAGGGGCTCGGAGGTTCTTGTGTGGCGTGGTGGAAGGTGAGCGTTTCTTCCCGTCACGCCCCGGTATTAATATGTTATCTCCTCAGGAAGGGAAGGGGGGGGGGGTTCGGGGGGCTCTAAAAGGCTGTTACTCCCTTGGGTCCGAAACTTGGTCCTGTTAAAATGAAGGGTGGGGAGGTGAGGCGGTGGACTAATTTTCCCTTCTCACGTCCTTAAACGGCGTCCGATTCCCCTCTGGCTACTAACGTGCCTAACCCCACCCGGTTTGGGCGTGGAGCCAGGCCGACTCCCGAGGAGGCGGTGGTAAAGAGCCTGCTGTTAGGCTCTGAGTTATACCTCTTTATACATTGGGATCTTTCTGTAGAGTCGTCTGTTTTTTAATGGAAAAATATGTATGAAGCCGGGAGCGGTGGCGCACTCCTGTAATCCCAAGACTCGGGAGACCTAGGCAGGTATATCAAGTTGTAGGTCAGCGTCAGCACCCCTGTCTCCATTAAAAAAAAAAAAAAAAAAAGTGTCCCCGTCCTATCCTTTGGTTGGGGGGGGGGGACCCACACAGACGTGCTTGTTGTGCTTCTTAAGTGAAGAGTAGCGTAGTTGGCCATTGGTGTTTTTTTTTGGGGGGGGGGGTGGTATCCGAGATTGAACTCGGGCATTTGACCACAGAGCCACATCCCCAGCCCTATTTTTTGTATTTTATTTAGAAATAGAGTCTCACTGAGTTGCTTAGCGCCTCACTTTCGCTAAGCCTGGCTTTGAACTCGCAATCCTCCTGCCTCAGCCTCCTAAGGCTTATAGTATTTAACAGTTACCTATCGTTTTAGATTTTTTGCTGGCCAGCAAACTACTTCTCCCTCTCTGAAGATTCATTTGCAGCCTAGAAAATTGTCTGCTTTTCAACTACTGCATTTTGTCTTCCAAGGATAAAGTTTTGACTACAATAACATTTTGGAAGATATGGAATCTGAATTTAGGGACTGAAGATGAGGCTTAAATATGCGAGAATAAAAGGAATGAGTGGACATTTTGGTAATGAGGGAAAATTACCACGAGTAATTTTACAGAGTTCCAGTCAGTCACTTTAGCGCTCTTTGCTTGAGTGCAACATGTATTTCAATTTTTTAATTATTATGGTCAACCCAGGGTTTTCTAGTTGTGGGATTTTTTGTCTCCTATTATGTAATGGTGTAGATAGGAGTATAAAAATGACTCTGGAAAAAAAAGCTAAAAAGGTTGGTGATGCACACCTATGGGAGGTTGAGGCAGGAGGGTCATTTGAACCCAGGAACTTGGAGACCAGCAACAGTGAGACCCTGAATCCCGAAACAAAACAACGAAGATAAGGAAAAAGCAAAGGAGGGTTATTCTCTTGATTGAGAGCATCAGCTTTTCCAGCGTGTTCACCATATTAATGTGTTCTTTTGAAACAGGTGGTGATTATGGTATTTTAGATAAAGTTTAATTGCAGGGGAGAACATGCTACTTTACAGCTTAGTAAGTCATGAAACAATTTAGCAAAATTGCCTTGCAGACCATATTCTGTTGGAGTCAATGTTTATGAAAACATGATTGTTTTGTGTGACTTATGTGTAGATGTATTTATTGGGCTTCTTGGAGCTCAGGGAGATTTAGAAAAACAATCTGTATATTGTTATCAGTGATCTTGGGGTGGAAGGTGAGGAAGGAGTGATGGGGGAAATCCACATTTCATACCTATACTGGAATGAATCTAAGGAAATTTGCCAGTTAATTATACTTTCAGTAATTAATGAAGGAAACTTGCTCTGGTTAAAACTGGTTTGTTTTGCATAGTATGGAAAAAGGAGTCTTTAATTCTTTTGTTCTTCCTTCTCCCATTCTTTTGTATAGTTTATTGGTAACTGAACACCTGAGCCAGCACACATTTATTCCTTCCTTCCTTCCTTCATTCTTTGTTGGTACCATTCCTAAAATGGAGGAGGATCGGAAACACAGTATAGTTGCTGCCAGGATTCCTTTTTTGTTTTTTGCATTTACTGTGTTAATAGCACTGCCTTCTTTTTTGTGGTGCCAACCAACCAAAACCATAAACCTGACTCTGAAAGAACCAGGTTAGGATTTCTGAAGATTAAAATGTTCTTGTTAGGCATTTGAAAAAATCTTTTTTTTTTTTTTTAATTGGAGCATAGCTAAATCCTAATGTATATGTACTGGGGATTGAACCTAGGAACATTCTACCTCTGAGTCAGATCCTTAGGCATGCACCAAACTTTTTTCCTTTTTTAAAAGAGTCTCTAAGTTGCTAAGGTGTGTCTCCTACTTAGAATCCTCTGCCATAGCTTCTGGAATAACTGGGATTACAGGTGTAAGCCACAACTTCCAGCCTTAATGCCTACTCCTTTTTTTTTTTTTTTTTTTGTTGTTGTTGGGTAGGTGGGGTTTTTTTTTTTTTTTTTTTGTTGTAAGGGTTGAAACCAGGGGCCTTGCACATGCTAGGCAAGTGCTCTGCCACTGAGCTGTAGCCCCA